GGGCGGCCGCCTCGGGCACGGCGGCGGTGGCGGTGGCGGGGGTGGCGGTGGCGGTGCGGGCTCTGAGGCGCCGCCGCACCTGCCGGGCCTCGCGGCGCTGCTGCTGGGGGTCTGTCTCGTGTATGCTCCGGACGGCGCCTGGGCGCGGGCACATCAGCAGCAGCACCAGCAGCAGCATGTGACTGGTGCCGGCGCCAGCGCCGCGGCCGTGGTGCTGGACGCCATTCTGCAGCGCCTCGGCCTCAGCCAGTTCTTCGGCCGGCTGGATGCCATGGTAAACTGCGTGGCGTTCAAGGCCGCCAGCGCCAGCGGCGGCGCAGCTCACGGCGGCGCCGCGCGCGCCGCGGCGCCTGGGGGCCCCGGGCACGATGGCGGCGCAGGCGCGGCGGCGCGGACGCCGCAGACGCCGCGGCGGCAGCAGCAGGAGCAGGAGGGCGAGGAGGCGGGGGCTATGTTATATGATGAGCCCTTCACAAAGCTGGTGGCGCGCGTGATCGAGGCCGCGAGGCAGATCACATTGGAAGCATTCTCAGGAGGTGGCGGCGGGGGCGGCCTGGCAGGGCCGGCGGCGGCCAGCACGGGGTTCACAGCGCAGCAGCAGCAGCAGCAGCAGCAGCACCCGCCGTCGCCGCCGCCGCCGCCGCACGTCCTGGCAGCAGCGGGCGGCCTCCCGCCGCCGCTACCGCCGCTGATTCCAATGGGACCGCCTGGAGCCGCGCCGCCGGGCGCGCACGCACACGCATCTCATCTCGTCCCGCCGCCGGGGCCGCCTACGCATGCACCCCACTCGTTTCTGATGCCACAGCCGCCGCGGCCCTTCATGCCCGTTGGCTATGAGCAGCAGCAGCAGCCGGCTTTCTATCAGCCACAGCAGCACCAGCAGCAGCCGCAGCACGAGCAGCAGCACCACCATCACCACCAACAACAGCCGCAGCAGCATCAACCTCAGCATTTTCAGCTGCCACCGCCGCCGCAGCTGCAGCAGCTGCAGCAGCAGCAGCAGCAACAGCAGCAGCAGCAGCAGCAGCAACCACCACTGTATCCAGAGCAGCAACGCCAGACGCCGCCCGCCACGCCCCCCACTGTGCTCGCCGACCCCGCGGCCGCGGCGCAGCAGCAGGCGCAGCAGCAGCAGGCGCAGCAGCAGGCAGCACTGCAGGCGGCGCAGCAGCAGCTGGCGGCGGCGCTGGCGCAGGCGGCGCGGCTGCAGGCTGAGGTCGACGACCTGAGGGGCCGCAACAGGGCCCTGGCTGAGGACCTGCTTCGCGCCAGCACTGGCGCCGGCGGCGGCGCGGGCGGCGCCGGCGGCGGGTCCGCCGCGGGGGGCGGCGGGGACGCCGAGGCGCGCGCGGCGATGCAGCTGCGGGCGAGCCGGGCGGAGATGGAGGCCGGGGCACTTAGGTGAGGGGCCGCGGGCCGGGTGCCCCGTCGCTGTGAGCCAGCCTACACCCACCCACGTCCCTCTCAGTCATGCGCATACGGGGTGCGGCAAACGGCAGCACCTGCAGCCTGATCTCCTTCTACCATGCTGAGCGCTTGTGACTCTGCGACTGTGACCTGCGCATGCATCCCTACGCCCGCGCCGACATCCCCTCACCCCGCAGGCAGCAGCTGGCGTCGATGCAGCAGGGCTGGGCCGGGTTGGAGGCCGCAGTTGCGAGCGCGCGGCGCGACGCGCAGGACGCCGCCGCTGCCGCTGCCAAGGCCGACGCTGACCTGGCGTCCCTCAGCGCGGCCTACAACAGCCTCGAGTCCCACAGCATCGCCCTGGAGGAGCAGCTCGCAGCCGCCTGCCAGCGGGTAGACGACGCCGCAGCGGCGGCGGCGGCAGCGGCCGCCAACGGCCATGCAGAGGGCAAGGCGAGCCAAGGCGCAAGCGAGGAGCAGATTGAGGCGCGAATTGCAGAGGCCGTGGCGGAGGCCGTGGCGGCGGCGGTCGCGGCCGAGCGGCAGCGGCAAAAGGCCGAGGCGGCGGCCGCGGCGGCGGCGGCGGCGGCGGCGCGCCAGAGCGAGCAGGCGAGCGAGCGGCCGCGGGCGGCGGCCGGCGGCGTGCCGGAGGCGGAGGTCGCGGCACGTGTCGCGGCGGCGGCCGAGGCGGCGCGAGCGGAGGCGGCGGCGGAGGCGGACGGGTCTCTGGAGGACCTTCTGGTTTGCCTGGGCCGCGAGGAGGCCAAGGTGGCGGCGCTGTCTGCGCGGCTGGAGGCACTGGGGGAGGACGTGGGCGGCCTGCTTGAGGGGCTGGACGCGGACGGCGGCTCCGAGGGGGAGGGCGAGGGGGACGTGCTGTAGGGCCGCCAGACGAGGGCCTGTGCGTGCCATTGGTGCAAGCCGGTGGCTGCTTGGCTGCTTGGTGGGGGAACCAGCACAGTATCAGCTCTGCCTTTTGAGGGACTGCTAGCAAGCCTCCATACATCATGCCTAGATTGTGTTGCGCAAACCCACGCCGCAATATGCAGCACACTGCATGTGACCCTTTCCAGCGCAGCTGCCTGCTGCTTAGATTTGACCCAGGCCTGTCGGACCAGCTCCTTGCAGCGTGCCTCGCACTACTTGTGCTGTTTTGCAAGACACCGTGTGGTGTTTCACACTGTGCTATGTGTGACCCCACGCAATGCACGCGCGCCCACTTGTGCTTGTGCCACCGTTACCTGAGCACGAGTTAGTGCAGCTGTACCTCGCTTGCCCCTCCTATGCCACGTGGCCACGACACACATAGCGCCGGCTCACGGGCACAGGGCTCGCAGCCGTGCGCGGCACAATTGTAATGGACGCCGTTTTAATGCATAACCCAGCGCAGCGGTCATCGTGGCCAATGGTCAGTCAACGTCAAAACGGTCAGTGCAATCTGCACCTGCATGTCACGTGCCTGCAGTGGAAAAGCTTCTCACAAACGCGGTGTTGAGGGGACCAGCCGCGCCCGGCCATGCACAGAGAAGGATGGGCGTGCACTGTGCAGCCGGTGCTGCTGCCGCTTGCCGCGCGGTGAGCCTGCCCTGCCAGTGCCAGGTGCGCGTTGATTGGCCGGTGATGCCAGCCCGGCACATCGCGCCGCACTGCCTTCGGCGCGCCTCCAGCGCTCTCCCCTCAAGCCACTCTCTGCCCTCCCTCCAGTCCAGTCAGACGCTGCCCAGTCCGGTGGTCTGCTGGCCACCGCCTGTAAGGATCGACAGGAGACCCTGACTGGCCTGCGAGACACAGAAGCGGGTAGGCAGGCGCAGGGAAACGGTTGGCCGAAACACACGTGACGGATGGCTGTGACAAGTACTCCCCAATGGCGCGCACGCACGGATTTTGTGCGCCACCGCGATGACCGAGCGCGTGTCTGGCGGACTGCCTCCTCGCGCCACCCCGTGGTTGCCTGCCCCGGCCCGCCAGCATCCGAGCTGCGGCCCCGAGCCGCCCCGGCCGGCTGGTACATTGGTACTGCGCGCTTATTGGTGTTGAGGGCTGCAGTAGGCACGCATCGCGTCCCAACGCATCCCGCTGCATCCCATCGCATCGCATCGCGTCGCGGGGCCGCCTCACGTCGCTGTCGTCCACGAAGAGGTCGTCCGGCACCCTGGTGGCCCCGTGCAGCGCCACCAGGGTGGCCCCCGTCATCAGGGCAGAGAACACCACACTCGCGACACTGTGGCGGCAGGGGGGGGGGGGTGGGAGAGAGGCGGG